GATGACAACAACCGACTGGAGTCTCTGAGCTTTTTGAATGACAACAATCGCGTTGGAGAATACTCTTCTTTCCCCGGCTGACGGCGTCTCTGCGGCGGTGCGCGTTGGTGCGCACGCCACGCCCTCTCTCTCTTTCTTTCTCTTCTTTTTTTCTCGCCACTTTGCTTGCAGCTGTGCGCGCGGTGGCGGTCCTCCTGCTGCCGCAACGCGGTGACACGGGTCGATGACGATAGCCCACTTACGACGGTCTTATGACAACTCCTCGAACATGGATTGAACACAAGTGTCTTAACGAGATTGGGGGGCACCGCACAATATTCCAGCAGCGCGTGCCCTGCGACCGAGACCCAACTTCCGCGCTCTCTTTCTGATCTTTTACTTGCGTTTATTTATTATTATTACTCTGTTTTGTTTTTCCCCGTGTTTTTGGGCGCTGTTGGAAGCGCAGTGTGTCCGAGGGATCGTTAACGGCTTGCATCTTTTTATGCTTTTATCTTGGCATTCAATTGTGTGTTTTTATGCTTGGGTTGTAGACATGGTTGTAATGCGCTTTTGGGTAAACTCTCCGTCTGACGGCTTTTTGTAGGACCTCAAAGACACCGTTCTTTTCTTTTTGTTTTTACCTCAGCGTTCTCTTTCACGAAATAGGCTAGCCAACGTCAGTTTTTGGTGTGTACAAAGAATGGTTGTAGAGGGGGCACTGTTGAATGAGTGGCTAAAGCAGTTTGAAATGAGGGGAGTGATGGTGTTTTTTACCCGAAGATAATGTGGTTTACTGTATTTCTTAGAAGCAATAGTGTTTTGGCCACTAGATAAAGGTATAAGATGTGGGATGCTGAGTGAAGAAAACTTTATGCTCTTACTCTCTCCGCACCTACAGAATGGGCTTAATGGAAGACGTTTAGAAAAGGGTATATAAATATTTGGTTTGACTGAGCCTTTTTTTTTATGTTGCCGAAAAGGTAAGAGTTGCAATAGATTTTCCGTCTCTTGTTGATGCGAAAGACCATGGAAAAAAAAAAACTTTTTTTTTGGTGGAGGGGTTTGATTGGGGCGATATAATTTCTTCAGTTGATGAGGATATGCTTCTTACTGTCGGCAACGTCTCCGATGTGAAGCTGATGGATAAGAATTCAAGTACTGTTGTTGGAACTCATGTTTTTGCCGTTACTCAGCACAATGTGCAGGTGGTTATGGGGAGGGAGAGGGTCTGCGCGGGGCGTAGAGTGACAAATCCTTGTCGTTTTTTGTATACTTAGTTTGTTTGTCCCTTATCTGAATGAAGCTTGACAATCTGAATTGGGCGATGCTTTGTGAGGACTGTTTTTTTTTTTTGCATTGTTTGTGTGGTGCCAACTTGTTGGATCATTTCTCTCTTTTTTGTCCTCTTTTTTTATTTGCCGTATGTGTGTGTGTTGGTGTTGTTGTTTTTGCACTCAGGAATTGTTGCAGTTAGGCTACTCTTTGTCCCGCGCCTATCCGTGCCTATTCACTTCTTCTCATCGCATCTTTCCTCGAGGCGGGAGCAAACGCCACCATGCCCGCGCAGTGGTACTCTGGTGACATTGTTACCATGGGATCCCGCGTTTTCTTCTGCTCACAGAACGAGGAGCTGCCGTTTTTGGAATGGTCACCGAAGGAGCAGCGTTTTATGGTGTTGCAACGTGATAATTGTGACGTGCCACCACTTCTCGCTTCTGAGCAAATTGATTCTGCCAGCTTGGGGTATGGCACGGTGAGGATTCCCTGCTGCGCTCTGTACGGTGTTCTACCTCTTAGAACCACATCTATACTGTTGTATGTTGCACAACAAGAACACGTGGCGACTCTGCCTTTTACTGAAACACATGAGGTGTTTGCTGTGAAACGATTTGCATGGATGCGCCTGCCATCGCCAGAGAACGAATCATCAATTCAAGATGGATTAAAAGAGGATGACGGGGATCAGCAAAATTCTTTTTCTGCTTTTCCTGAGGAACTTTCGGAGGATATTGTTGCTAAATATTGTGCGCTGATTGATCGGTTTTGTAGTAATTCAGAGCAGCACTCAGGAGGCTCGCTTTTTTTTTATTCCCCAACAATAAGTTTGGCGTTGGATCCAAGTGAGTTGGTTGAGAATCCGACAACACATTACTTTGGGGGCTCTGTATCGGAGAATACATTTGATTATGAGGGGGCTTCCCTTTCTAGGGAAAATCATGTTTGCCATCAGTCGTTGCGCACTTTTCAATGGAATTCTCCATTGCTTCGCGCATTCGCATCGCTGCATTTGCCCGATGGAAGTTCTTTTTCGTATGTGCCGTCATTTATCAGAGGCCTTGTTGCCATGTCTCCTGCACCCGCGGATGGCGTTCAGCTGCTGCTCATTAGCCGACTCAGCTACCGTTGGGCTGGTACACGCTACAACCGACGTGGGTTGGATTTGGCAGGCACTGGCACCAGTGCTATTTTTTCCATCTCGACCTTGTGGGTGTTTTCTGCGGAAACAAACGAGAAAGAAAATAATGCGGTACTCGCATCTTCTAATGGGAGGAAACGAATGGCCTCCTACCAGGTTTTACGAGGGTCCATCCCACTTTACTGGAGCCAACGGGCAAATTTGGCTCTCACGCCGGAGATCACCATTGCATCGCCCGGTCGTGCAGCATTTGGACTTCGTTTACATCTAAAACTCTTAAATGAACTTCTCCCTGCCACATCGACGCTTCATTGTCTTGATACGACATCTAGTAGTGAAGTGGAGTGCTCGCTTTCAAAGGCCTTTGCGTTTGCTGTGACGAAGTTCCGTGAGTCGGATGCCAGGCATGATGTATCCTTTGATGTTCAATACACTAAGTATGATTTAAGGGACAAACTGAGGAGCAAGCTGCCGTACGACGAGATCCTTCAAGGTGTAAATGAGCTACTCAATGGTGGTGTGGAGGAGGAGGCTAAACGTGTAGACTTCTCGAGGTGGTGCACCCAGCCCTTTACGGAGGACAATGATTCAGATGTAAAGACAGATCACACCTGTTCCCTGGTGTGGAGGCAAAGTTATCAACAGAAGCACTACATTCGTGTGAATTGTCTTGACTGCTTAGACCGGACTAATCTTGTCCAGTCTATGATTGTGGTTGATGTGCTTCCTCGGATGATTCGGTATGTGCGTGGTCGGGACCACGCAGCGAATAATAATCACGGTAACAACGATAGGGCCGCAGAGAATTCTGAGAAGGAAGAGGAAGCGTATGAAGAATCTATTAAATTGTGCAAGGAACTCTGGGCTCAGCAGGGTAGAGCACTTTCTAAATTGTATGCTGGAAGTGATCCTCACTTGCTTCAATTTCTTGTGAAGGGTACCTTGGGACCGTATGTGCTGCAACAGACAGTCCTCATTGCAACGCGTCGTTGGTTTCAACAGAACTTTTGTGATGGTGACAAGCAGGACATCATTTCAGTACTTACCCGCCAACATGATCCGGCCCTCATACAATTCGAACTTGAAAGGCGTTTTGTACGACCATTCTCGTTACTAAACAAAATGATGGTCTTGGGTCTCGCCGTCGCAATAGCTGCACTTGGGGTGAACACATTTATTCTCCTGTTCTTGGCACGGAGTTCGATGTTTAACGGATCATTGTTCTATTCACTCGCCTGGGTGCTTTACATCATTATATTGATGTTTTTTATTAAGCGTGGGGGGGTTAGCTACACAAACCGCCCAATGTTTGGATGAGTGGTTGTCCTGTCTTTGATGCAAGCGGCGTGGCCTCCGGATGTGTGGTGGTGAGTGGTGGGTTGGGGGGACACTGAGGGTGAGTCGATTGCTGCCTGTGGCGTGAGAGGTTACGGTTCTTCCTTGGAACCACCTGCAACTAACGCACACAGCGAAGGATGAAGTAGACGATAGAGGAGTAATAGGAAGGGCAAAATGGGGTACCAGTGATCCTGTGGCATAAGTTTTTTGGCGCCTTGAAACGGAATGTAATCTGACGTGAGCCATGCTGTGCAGATTCTTTTTAAATTTTTTACTTTTGTCGGATGGTTCCTTGTTTCTTTTTTTTTTACGATTTTGCCGTTCCTTTTTTGTTGTTGGATTTCTCCTTCCCTTCTTGTGTTTGTTTGTTTGTTAGGATTCAGGAGTATTGCGACAGACCTCTTTTTTACTTTTTTATATTTTTGTCTGTACTTGGTTTTTTTTTTTTTCGTTACGCTCTGTCTGCTTTGCAGTGCTTCTTTGTTTGAATTTTCTTGATTGTGTATTCTCTCGTTCATGTGCTGCAGAGCGCACTATATTGATGATATGTTGCATTTTCCCCTTTGTTTTGTATCCCTTGCGTGGGTGTGGAGCTATTTCGGATGGACTGCCTGTAGACTGAAGTGAATGCAGGTTTTTTGAGCTCCGCTTCTGTGGCTTGCCTTCCATCACATTGTAGCTGTTTGCTAAAGTGGGTAGTGGGATGAGTATGCTTTGCCGAGGACAACAGCTTGCACGCTGTATCGGGGGGGTGAAATGCAACTTTGGCGGGCTTCTTTTGTTGATCATCATATTGTACGTCATCTCATTTGTGGCTGTCTGGCTCTTGTCTGCACCGGTGCAGGAGACCTGGTCGCTGTCGGGAGGGTCGCCTGCCCCAGTGACAGTGACACTTGGCAAGGGCTGCTCCGTTAAACTCTATCGCCACGTCCCGGTTTCATTGTTGTTTACCACCGCTTTTGAGGCTTCAATGAAGATACTTGACCACCACGGATGTACAAGTGTGCGGGAAATCCTGCAGAACGCTGGTGTCACTCGCTGTCCCCAGGGTTTTGCCCTTCAGTGCGTTGCAGGTCGCACATGCAGCATCCTTGACAATACAACGATGGATATGCAGGCGTTGAACCTCACATTGGGATTTCGTTACGCCTCGTCGAAAAAAAATGGGGTGTACCCATGGCTAATTGCCAGTCGTAAGGGAATGTATTTGCCGGATCTGGTGCGTCAAGGGAATGCGGTGCTGTCTGCCCTAGGTCTTTTGCGCGTGGTGGCTCGTATTGAGCGTTATATATTTGCATGCCAGATGCCCTCAACAGAGGCGATATTGGCTGCATGTACGACGAAAAATGCAACAGGTGAAAAAAAGGAGCCTAGACGATTTGTTTTAGTAGAGCTCGCAACTGGGAATGCCAATCTTCTTTTTACTATTTGCCCACCGGATCCTTTGCGTTGGTTAAGGTGCTACGGTGTGGAAACGGTTCATGCCGTATCTGCTGATGCAATGACATATCAAGAGCATATACGTATTGTAAATGGCGGGGTTTCCCCGCTCAGAGATGGGTCGGCCACACACGTGCTGCTTCATGGAATTTTACACCTTATCCCTGTGAACGACTCCTGCGCGTTGATTCGGGAGGGTTTACGTCTTTTAGGGCCAAAGGGAATCCTTTTAGTGGTGATGTTGTTTACGGGTACCTCTGTGGTGTGGCCAACGGGATATCATCCCTTTTTCTTTAAAGATGCCGCGGTAGAGACGGATCCTCTAAATGCGTCGCGTTCTTCAACTGTTTTACGCTACTGTAGTACTATTACAGGCGAGGACTATGACACGCTTGTAGAAAAAGTGGAATTCTTGTGGGACGCACCAGAGTTCGCTTTTTACACACCGCAGTTTAAGCGAACGGGGATTTACGCGGTGCGTCTAACGCGGTCTGAAAAGCTAATGCCTTCTTTGCCAGGGGAGGAACGACGGATCGCGACACCAGAAGAAGAAGAGACTGATCTATACAAGGACATCTGCACGAATCCAAAGAATTTGGACCGCATGAAGGACGCACAGTCACTTTGGGGAGAACGTGTACTGGCGATGCATGCCCATAGAGAACGCAGGCGACGTGGGAAGGGGCATCACGTATGGTCTAAGAAATGAGCATGGCGAACGTATCATGTTTTTTTTTTAATTTGTTTGTTCGTGTGCTGCTGTTGTTGTTGTCGGTTTTGCTTTACATTGGTCGTGCGAGGGGGAGGGGGAGGAAGGGAAGAGGCAGAAGATAGAGAGAGACAAGTTGGCCCACGAATGTAGACGCCTACATCTTGTTAACGCCTGCTATTGTATTTTCTCTAGTTATTTGTTTGGTCTTGCATTTTGGTTTTGTTTTGAACCTTTTTCCAACCCATTACATTTTGATTTTTGCACTGCACTGCAATGTTGTTGTCAGAGAACCTCCAATCATTTTAAACTCATATCTCTACACAACTTCAACTTACACGCTAGGACGATCCCTTCCTTAAACATATTATTGTTACCTTTGTTTCTGTCTGTGGGAGTCCAAGCGTACACGGTTGGTTTTTCGTTGCTTGTCCATCCTGTCGCCTCCGAGTTGTGGTGGTTCACCATGGCGAGGGAAGGGATACAGTTTTTGTTGTTGTTGGTGTTTTGTTGGACTTCACCGCTTTTCCTTACGTGTCAGCCACCTCAACTATTCTCTCCAACATTGCTTTTTGGTTACTAAGCAGCGACGGGACTCAGCGACCCAAAAAGGGGTCCTACAGGTCGTTCTATACATAATTAGAGAGAGAGCAGGATAGAGAAGAGGATAAAAGAGGAAGGGGGGGGGGACTTTGCCATCGGTCCATACGCAAAAAAGAAAGGAAGAGCCAATTCACCTTCTTGGAAGTGGCTATATATATAGCTGTTTCTACACACATACACACACATATTTACACTTGGCAAGTCCTTTTACAGCCGTTTCTCCCTTACCTTTCTATACCGGCGCCTAATAAGTTGAGGGGAGTAGCGGACATTGGGCGGAGGAAAAGAAGGAAGTTACACCGACTGATAATATTACAATCATGTCGTGGTACACGCATTGCTGTTACAGCCCTATTCACAAGGGAGCCCATTTGCTCGCTCCGCGAAGTGTGATGAAGCGGTTTTGGAGCCCGTTTTGTCGTGGTCTTGTTGGGCCAAATCTCCAAATGTATGGTTTTAGTCAGGTTTTTGACAGCATTCGGACCGATGATAATGACTTTACGTGTCAGGTAAATGGTCAAGTGGGTGGTACCAGACTTATCGAGGACTTCTTTATTGTGATTCTCTGTGGCTTTGACTTTGTTGATGTGAAGGTGGAGTCATCTTCTATGACCGATGCGGTACGCGACCCGTGCAACTTTAAGGGCTTCTACGTGCTTGCGCACAGCCGACCCTTCTTGGGATGGGCTCCTTTCGTCGTTGCACCCAGCCTGGAAATAGAACCTCATGACAAGGGATCCGTTGTATCCAGCTTTGACAGGAGCGAGCCGTCAGAGTTGCAAGAAGACTCCAGCGGAAACCAATTGCTTGTTCATTCTAGGAATTCTAATGCAGAGCAACCAAGGCGGTTGCTGAAGGTCCCATTCACATCGCGAATTGAAGAGCATGAAGGCGGTTTATCTCACATGACTCTTCGTTCTCCTATTTTTGACGTTATTATGGGTGATCACAACTGCCCTGCCACCTTGAAGCATTGCCTTCAGAACAAAGAGGCAATTGAGGCGATTGTGCGCCTCCGTCGCGCGAATGTGCGTCCGGAGTTGATCACCGACAAGACACTACTGGCAATCACTACCAAGAAGGAATCCTGGGCCTCTGCGTTGGGAATTCTTTAGTTAACATCGCTGATGAGCAAGGAGGGACTAGTAACAAGTGCAAAACGGAAAAAGAATGGGAAAACGGGGATGCTGAGAATGCAAGGAGCACATGCGTCAACACCTCTTTTTTTTTTGCCGTGTTTGCCCGGAAAGTGAACTGGGTTTGTGTGGGATGACAAGACGCTGCTGGCGTTAGGGGCATAACAGTGTTGGTAAGTGTTCTCTGTATGTCCAGTGATTGATGTGGGGAGCCCATTGGAATTCCTTCTGTTGAGTCGCACACACGAAGTACGAAATGAGTTGAGTAAAAAGGTACAAAACAAAAACGAGGCAATTTTGTTCTGTTCTATTTCTGCATGGGGGAGGTGGGAGAAGAAGAGGAGTTCAACGAATTTTCTTGAGTTTGCTTTCCCTCACTTTTGTTGTTGTGGGGACTCCATCATCAGTAGTACGCTGCCCTATCTAATGTTACCCCCCCTCCCCCGAGTCTTTGTTTTTGGTTTACGTGTGCTTCTTGCCTTGCGCACGGATAATGGAGGCGTCAGGGGGTACTTCATGAACCTTTGTTCAGGAGACAAAAAAAATAATAGTAATAAAATCAACAGAAACAATTAAAACGAATGAACCGTTTTTTAGTTTTAGTTTTTTGTTTTTTTGTGTGTCTGCGACTCTATTGACTTCTTTCTCGTCACGTGCTTCTGTTTTCCGGGCGCCCTTCCGCACTGGATGCATGTTGGTTGTGCCAGCTCTTTGCACCCTGCCTGCCTGGTCGTGCTTGCGTCCTTTTTGCTGCTGTTTTATGTGTGCCGCGCAGTGATTGATGATGTTTTTTTTCTCCGCCTCGTGTGGGGTGTCGTTGGTTGTTGGCTGCCGTGCTTACATTTGACCTGCTGCTGGCGCATGTGCGTCTAGTAGGCAATGCGGTGCGTTGCTTAGTGGCGCTAATTCAGAGCGAGCAGGCTGTGTTACGGTGAAGGCGGACGGGAAATGAACCGAGAGTCGCACGAAAAGGGTGGAAGAGGAGAGAGAGAAAAAGAGCTGTGACCGGGGTTCTGAGAAAGTCACCGACAGGCTTTTTGACAATTCCAGTGAACTGGGGCAGGGTCCAGAACAAAGTCAAACAAAAAAGGTAAAGAAAGCAGCAACTAAAAAATACAAACCAGGCTGCTTTTGATATATATATATATATGCACGGATATTCAACTGCCCATTGAAGAATAGAAGGCGGGAATGAGTGAGGGGAAATTCGTACGGTTGGTATCTATGGGAACATTCAAGGATGCCTGCTGTGGCACTGGCAGACCGCTCTTGTCACCCGTTGTGTTGAGCGTAATGTGTTTGGGTGTCTCACCCCCTGTTCACACACGCAGTTTATGACTGGGTGCTGCCTTCGCGCGTTTCGTCTTTATGTCGCGTGCGGTGGCACATGTGCTTATGGCCTTGTCGATGTTTTCTTTTTATGGTTATCTGAAATTGCTTTGGATGTGTGTGTTTTTTTTGTGCGTGTGCGTTTCTATTTTTATTTTGTTTTTTTCAAGTATTCTGTCGCTTTTCCTCCCGAGTTTGTTATTGTACCCAACTCTATGCCTGCGTGCGGCAACGGGTGCCCATGAAGGGAAAAACAAATCGCTAAACACACCTTTGTGGTCTCAGTGTCTACTCACTACTGTCAGGCCTCTGCTGGATGAGTGAGGAAGAAAGGAGGCGGTTGAGGGCGTCGTGGGGGTGGGGGGTAGCGTTAATTTCTCCTCTCCTTTCACTCTTTTTTTGCCTCATGAGCTTGAGCGGGAGAGGCGCACGGGGAGAGGGAAGGTGGGAGTAGATTTTGAACTTTCGCATTGCTTTTTAATTTCATTGTTATTATTATTTTGTTGAGTTTTTTTTTTTTTGTTGCGCCCGCATGAATTTAATTTTTCGCTTATGCTTTCAGCCATTCTTCTTTTCACTCATTCTGTGTTAGTGAAGAATACATGCAGAGGGCCATGCGCGGTGTATCTGCCGCCGAAATCGCAAAGTTTCGTGAGCTTCAAAGCCATTGGTGGAACCCAAATGGCCCGCTTCGTACCCTGCATGCCTTCAACCCTCTGCGCGTGCAGTACATAAGCAATATATGCAAACACTTTGGTAAACGGTCTGATTTTTTTGCCCCGTCCGGCATTACGCCTGGAATGCGTATATTGGACGTGGGCTGTGGCGGGGGCATTCTCTCCGAAAGTCTTGCACGGTTAGGTGGTAACGTACTTGGAATTGACATGTGTGAAGAGAGCGTTGCTGTGGCGCAACAACGTCGTGAGCGGACTTTGCGTGAATTGGACTCTTGCACCTCACATGACGCTGCGGCGTTGCTCGTATATCGCCACGTATCCCTCAACACAATTGTAGCTGAAGAGAAGCAGCAATTTGATCTTGTGGTCGCCTCGGAGGTTATTGAACACGTTGAGGACGCCCCGGTTTTTTTGCAAGATCTTTGCGACGCGACAAGCCCGGGCGGGGTGCTTATTCTCTCCACAATGGATAAGTCTATTAGAACAGCCATTAGTCATATTGCTGTTGCGGAGTATCTCACAGGATTGGTGAGGCCAGGTACACATGATTGGTCAAAGTTCGTTCCCCCCAAGGACGTTTCCAGGTGTGCGCAACAGCATCACGTACGTCAAGTGGATCTTCAGTATATTGTGACGTGTCCAGACGTATGGATGTCTTTGGCTACCCGACAACTGCAGTTGGGATTTTCGCTTACAAAAGGCTTTGATACGGGGCACTACTTTTGGTCTGGTTTGAAGATGGCAGCTCCCACGTCAAACCACACTCCGTGAGACTTGCCGGACTCATATGGGCTGCTTGAGGCAGGAGGAGAGGAAAACGAAAGCCGAAAACAGAAAACAATTAAATTGTTTAGTTGCCTCTCGTGCGCCTTTTTTCCCCTCCGATAGGAAGCAGCGGAATTGAGGGAAGGGTGTTCATCTGAAATTGGTAGGGATGTGCAAAGTCATGGATTTTCCTATAGTGTGGTGTGTAGAGGCATTATTTCTGCTTTTCTTTTTGAGATTCCGAAGTATCATTATTTTTCTTCCGTTTTATTTTCTTTTACACGGTGTGCCTGCGGCTTTGATGCGAGGTAGTGGAGTTAGACATCAATGACTGCCAAGGGCACAATCCGTTTCGAGGACCTTGGAGAGCCTGTGCAGCGGCTTTTGAAGTCGCTGCGGGCCGGATACACGGACGAGGATATGGCGTTGCTCAAATACGTCTCTGTGAGGGATATGGCAAGAATTTACGGGGAGATGTCGTCCGATCGTCACGTCGAGGAAATCTGGAAAGAGCTCCGCGCTGCCCTAAAGGCCCGGCAGGAGGAGGCGGCGCGTCGTGAGTTGGAGCTGCACAGAAGAGAACAGCAACTTGTAGCTGAGCGAGAGGCGGATGAACGTGCGCGGCGCCAGCAGGAGGAACTTGAAGAGGCGGAACGGCAAGCGGCAGAGGCGCGGCGTGAGCGACGCGAGGCACGTCGCAAGTGTCGAGAGGAGTCAGCAGAGGAGGAGGCCGCCGCCGCAGCAGCAGCAGCAGCAGCAGCAGCAGCAGCAGAGGAGGCCGCGATGCTGGCGGCGGAGGAGGAAGAGCGCCAGCGTAAGGCAGAGAAGAGGCGGAAGCGGCGAGAGGCACGTGAACGTGAACTGCAGGAGCAGCAGGATGCCTTAGAGGCGGAACGGCAAAAGCATACTGCCGAAAACTCGTCCTCACAAAGAAAGGTCTGGGAGGAATATGTTGCCCGCCATCCGCTAGAATTTGGCGCTTGCAATCAAAACATTGAACAGAAACCCGTCGAGCACACGTTAAAGGCTCCACCTGCGGCTACGAAAGACCTTCTTAACCGAACGTATACGCCCAAGTGCCCCAGATGTGGCACAAAGTTTGTGGTTCCTCCAAAGGAGTGGGATTGCCCACTGTGTCTGCGTCAGACGCGTCTAAATATCAAGGTGTGGCAGCCGGACAACTCTTCTAATAAATGCACAATTTGTAACGCCTCTATTGGTCGCTTCTCTCGCCACCATTGTAGAAGCTGCGGCCGGCTAGTATGTGAGTTTTGTAGTATGGCAAAAGCTACGATTCCAGCTTTGGGGTTTACTGTCGCGACAAAAATATGTGACGACTGTGCGCAGCTTGGTCGTCGTCCTATAACAAACTGCTAAAAAGGACGGCAAATTAGTTTTGCCAGCAAATGAAACTTTCTAGTCGCCTTCGTCCACGTTCTTTTTTTTTTGTACTGTATTCCCTCTGTATGTCTGCGTGCGGAACATCCGAAAGCAGGTGCGAGGGAGTTACAGAGGTGGTGACCGTTCTGCTTTGATCTTATTAGGTGTTTAAGAGGAGGAGAACGCCGAAAAGAAGTGGGAAGCATGGTGGTATATATATATATATTGGACGATATTTGCTTCCACCACCAACCAACCAACCAACCCTGCCCCTCCGGTAGTTATAGCGAAAGTGTGGATTTGCAGCAATGACGAGGGCCATATTGCGCCCGTCACATTTGGTGCCATACGTTATGCTTTATTCGTTCGCTTCGCTGATCTTTATTTTTTATCGTCTTTACCCTACTTTTTCTCTTTCCTCAATAATACCGAGAACATTCGATAATAATAACGTTAGGGGGGAGACACAACAAGCAAACAAGCAACCCGCGCAAACACACCAATACAATAATAATAATAATAAGGAACCATGGATACTGTGGCTCTCACCGTCAGTTCGCTTGTGCATCGGGCAGAGGCCCTCAACATTCCGGTCATCCGTAGCAGGTCACTGGCAATCGCTGTCGCCGCAGGTATTCCCCTCGTGGTGCTCCTGCACGACACGGCAGACTGGTGGCTGCCAAAAACGTGGGGCATGCCCATCATCTCTTGGTTTCGCCGAAGGTGGCGTCAGGACCCCGAAAGCAAGGCGGCACATCTGGCACTGGCTCGCAACGTCCTCATTTTCCTCTTTGTAGCCATGGCACTGAACGAGACCCCCTACTATCAGACAACAGTGGACTACGTTGCAGACCGTGTCTCAAGCACCTCCGCTCGCAAGTCCTTTGATGAGCATATTAAGATGTCTCGACGAACTGCTTTTGGAGCTGCAAACGACGTAGTGGGAGAGGAAGGGCACAACGAGGCGAACGTTCGTCAACAGCGGGACACGGCACTACGCCGTCGCTTTGTGCATGACAACCGCAACGGGAACTAGGCTGAGAAGGAGTTGGAGGTAGGGAGCGACAAGTGTTTGCTTCTGCACAAAGACCGTGGTGGGAAGAGGGGAGTGAAAAAAAAGGGAAGAGGTACATAGCAGGAGACGAATGACGATGAGATGAGGAGAGAGGCAGACGACAGCAGCAACGCTGCTTTTTCCCTAGGGCGCCGCTTTTATCACAGATGTTCGTTTTTGACCACAATAACAACAAGAAGGAAAAGTAAGGATGAGCCACAAAGTTCTTATGTCGAAGATAAGCAAAAAAAAAAAAGAACACTACGGGCAATACGACAAACAAACATGATGAATTAAGTATACAGCGAGGATAGGTAAGAAGTGAGGGAGAGACAATGGTTGGTATGATGACTTCGACGGTTGCTGAGTGGCGTTTTTCCCTTTTCTTATTCTTTTTGTTTTTCATTACTGTTGTTTGGGAAGGGGGAGGGCTAAATGTGTGCGCTCCGGCGATTACCGATGTGTAGGTGTTTGCTGTGTGACTCGAGAAGGTGGGGATGACGAAGCACACAGGAGTGCAGCTCTGAGAGGGGCAAAGCGAGAGAGAGAGAGAGAAAGGGAGAAAGAGAAAGATGATTGAGGGATACGAATAGAAGGGTCATGTGATTGGGTTCCTCCTCTTTGTGTTTATTTTTCTTTTCATTTCCTTTTCTGGCGGTTTTTGCCTTAGTTGTTATCCTTCTGAATGATCCATTTCCTAGCGACTTTCGTCTTTGCTCGACTGCCTCAAAAAGGCACGGAGCACATCATTGCCATCATTCGATTTCTGTTATTTCCCACTGTCTTTCTAACGACACTTTTTTTAAAGACCTGTACTGGCAATTCCAGGGCGGGGTTTATCGTATACACGCCGTGTTTTTAACGTTTTTTTTGTTTCGGTTGCCACAATCTTCCTGACGTTGCTCCCCTGTTGTTGTTGTGACTTCTGGAAGAGGAAAGGTGCGCCGCACAACCAAACAGCGTGGCTGGTGTGGAGGTGAGGGCACATATATATATAGAGAGAGAAATAGAGAGGGATCGCTGGTGTTGAAGCATCAAGCGCGGAGGAAGTAAAGCAAAGACACTTTATTTCATTGTACTAATCCCGTTGCATATATACATAGATACTTATAGATGACCCGCAGTGGTGATGTAAGTGTTTTGCGTGACATGACGGCGCATAGAGATTGCCACCGCAGTCTATTGTATGATGTGTCGACGATGAGTGGCCCCTTCAAGGCGGTGGCAGCGGCATCTTCAACGTCAGCAGTAGCCACGCGTCAGACGGCAGGATCAGTGGCTCCTGAAGACACGGTGTTGCTTGAGATTCTTATTCCTGTGTATCTTAAATTGGAAGATCGTGAAGAGGTGTGTCGCGAGCTGGGTATCTTTGTTCAGACAGGGCGTGGCGGAGTGAACGGCCTTTCACGAAAAGTGTGTGTGCGTTTGACAGACACCACGGACCCGTTCTTTTTATTTGAACTTGAGCTGCTTGAGGATGACTACGGTTCATTCAAGCAACGGTTGGAGCTTCTTGTGGACTTCAGTGGGTTTCCCAAGTATCTTGTCTCCATGTTAAACGGTATTGCTAGTGGAGCCATGCCATATTCGGTTTGTTTTGTCGTAGACAACCGAGACACGCTTCTCGGGACGCTGCGGGTGCTCGAGCGGACGGAGTTTCGTACGGTGGAACACATCTCGCTCTTGCTGATGCGGCAAGGCGATGCGGGGCAGAAGCGATACCTGGCAGAACGCTTCCAACACTTTGAACGGGCGTACATGCGGGAGGTGGAGGAGCACCGCTCCGCCGCCGCCGCTGCAACTGCAAATATCGAATCATTGAAAAGTGAGGTGGCGACACTGCAGGAAGGCTGTGACTCGCTGCGGGAAGAGCTGAGGCTTGAAGTGGCGAAATCAGAAAAAAATCAGTTGGCCAGTGTCAGTCAGTTGCGTGAGGAGCACGCCAACGAACTTGCGCGGCTCCGCAGCTCCATGGAGGCCGAACTCCGTCGTTCTACGTGCAAAGCAGACGAGGTCCAGGCGCGACTCATGGAGGATGTGCGAACAAAGGACAAGAATTTGTATGAGGCCAATAGGCGTGTGACTTCGCTAGAGTCGTCCATCGTGACTTTGCAGTCACAGCTTCGCGTGGCTGAGGATAAATGCAGTGCCCAGGCGCAGGAGTTGGAGGAGCTTCGCTCCTCCAATCATGAGCTTCAGAGCTTTCGTTCGAACGCCACCCGCTCCATCTGCGATAATGAGCTTCATTCTGTTAAACTGCAAGAGCGTGTGCGGGGTTTGGTGCAGACCCTAAAGTCACGTGATGACGAGGTCCAGTCGCTGCGGGAGCAGTACCAGAAGCAGGATAGCTACATTCGCATCATTACCTCACAAAATGACCAACTAACCGAGCAGAACAAAAAGAACGAGCTGTCACTAAAGAAGGCTCATCATATCATTGCAACCCAGTTAAATCACATAAAAGGTGCGAAGGAGCGAGAGCGTATGATGCGTAATCAATTACGCAGCCAGGATGCACTACTGCAAGACAAGGTGGATGCCATTACCCGGCTGAGAGATGAGTTATCATCTTCGTCAGAACGGGGACGGGGACTTCAAGAGAAAAACATCGAGCTTCGGGATCAGCTGGGGAGGACGGATGCCGCGCGTGAGAAACTTGCGCAGGAGTTAAAGCAGAGTCAAGATGCTCTTATTCATCTTCAGAGAAGCACCAGTGTAAATGGACGGCATTGGTCTGTATTGGCTAGCACTAACGCCGGTAACAACCTCAACACTGGTCTTGGCATGGGGCTGAGTAACAGCTTTGGGTCGACGGCAAATGATATCTACAGGGAGTTCAATAAGAATGCTATGACCACCGTGCGAAATGCAGGTTGTTTATCCGCGCAGGGCCCCCTCGATGTCTCTGGTGTGCCCGCAGCGCATTCTCAGAATACTGTAAATACAAGCGAGAATAATTTGCAAGGTGCCCTGGCAGGTGAGCCAAAGTATGTGAGCAAGGCGTCACAAGATCCACCGCACTCCGCCAACAACAAAACTGCAAATAGTTTTGAGGCCGGGGCACAAATTGTCTCTGGTAACAGTATGACAAATCTGGCTAATGCATCCGAGAGTCACATAATGAATGGGAAATACACACGTCAGCCTTTGGATGCGACGACAGTTAATGTGGCGTTGAATTCGAGGAATCACCTGTTTGCCGCCAAAAACTTCTTCAATGATGGCGGTGACAAGGCGAACCGCACACTCAATACGGCGTCCTTTATGGAAAAAACGCCTGGAGCCATGGCAAAAGCAGCCGCCGCACCAAGCGCTTACTTTTGATGAGATCTACTCTCAGTATGACATAAGACCGTATAGATTTTCTACCTCCTTCTTCTATCTTGGGAAGGCCTTTTTTTTTGTTTTTGTTTTGTGCTTCTCATGCTGGGATGCGTTTTTATAGAAATCTTTTTGTAGCTATGGGTGCTGAACCAAAAGGAAAAAGATTCGCAGGGACGGGATGTGTTTCCCGTGCCATTGCCTCACAAGAGTGGGTTCTTGCCATCATGACTCATACTGTGGGGGAATAACGCGTGCAACGCCAAGCAATATTTTATCTCCTTAACGATTGTCTCTGTATGTATGTCTGCGTGTCTGTGTGTGTGTATGTGATGTGTGCGTGTGTCTACCTGTTTGTCTATTTTACTTAGTTGGATGTTTGTTCTTGTTAGTTTGCGTTGGACGCATGCGTGCAAGGGTGAATAATACGTGTGTTCTTTCATCCCCTTTTTTTTTGTGTTTTTCGTTTGCTCCGCGTTTTCTCCTTCAATGGCTACTGCTGCTTCTGCGTGTCTGTCATCGCTTTATGGGAGTGGGAGACGCCTTGTTGCGCAGAATCCACTAGCACAACGACGCTGAAGATTTAACGGAAAGAAACAAAGGACGGGGGGCAAGTGCAGGTGGATCAAATGAAAAGGGAAGGTTACCACGGTTCTGTCAACAACACCGCTTTATTGCTGAATAGCCGTGAAGACCACAGCCGGGCTAGCACTGGCACAACGCGATCAGAGACGCGTTCGTCTCCCTTGCGTCGCGATGTAAATGGACCCTGGCGCAAAGGTTCTGGTGGAGGTGATAACAAAATAATTTCCGCCGCGCCATTTGAAAATGATAAGGGAGTCATCAAAGATGATGTGAACTTTCGTGTGGAGCGAATTGACAGTGCTTCTTGCCTGGCTGTGGACGACGTAGTTGGATATGAATTTGTCTCAGAAGACGGAAGGTGGACTTGGTCCATTGGCACCGTTCTGGCATGTGTCAATAACTCTGACAATATCATTGGAAATGGTGACGGCAGCGGCGCCATAGCTGCTGATCCGAATCTTGTTTCCTTGGCGTATTGGAGAATTGCACTTGATACACAAGACGAGAAACGACGAAGCGATTCTACGATGAAGGCGGGTAAACACGGGGATGAGGCACAATATGACATTCTTCGAAGACTACATGAAATTGAGGAGGAACAGGCCGAAATTTTACGAGAGCCATGCGAGAAGGATGTCATTGAGGCCGAAAGGACCGCTGAAGCTGCACGGGAAAAACTACGGTTGAGGGTTCAAGAGCAGCGGAGTGTGCTGCAGCAGCTGGCAAAACCACCAGGTGTGTTGCGATTAGCAACTCAGGCAGTGTTTTCACTTCTTGGTATTGAATTGTTGGTGGAACGAAGCGAAGAGGAGTGGGAACAAATGCAGCGCGTGTTGTGTTCGGAGGCCTTTGAGGAAAGCCTATCAGAGGCAGACACGTCTAGGTTGGATGAGGTGCAGGCCGAGATTATTACCCAGCGCTTCTTAAATAACCCGCACTTTACATATGCGTACATGGAGACACGAAGTCACCTTGCGGCGCTCATGCAAAAGTGGGTGGTTAGCGAAGTTCAGCTCTATGAAGCTCGTGCAATGCTTCAATACCTTAAAGGGCGTTTGTCTGCGTTAAATGAGGAGGCGAGGCAGAAGCAGCAGGAACTGAGCTTCTATCTTAACGTCAGCGGCCTTACAAGGACAAGTAGTGACCAAGGCGATGAAGAAAATGTACGCTATGCTTTGCGGTCCTTTCAAGATCTCGGTAAAGTCCCGTTTGTGCGCAGCGATAAGGTGGCCGTCGTCGTACGTTCATCTGTATTCTGCAAGTTTGTCCCTTCCACGTCATTTCCCATGTCTGCGCTAAAGAGCATGACTATTCAACGAGATCGTCTTGCCTGCATCCGCTCCGCTGCGTCCGGAAGGCAGGGGCGTGTGGGGTTTGGATCGCCTGTTGGTATTGCCAGTGTTATGGACAATGAGCTTCATAAATCGCGTGAGGCAGTGCAAGTGAAAAAACTCTTGTATGATCAGTCAATGGAACGGGAACACATTTTAGTACGTGAGTTGGAGACTCTCTACCAGAAGCATGTTTGGTACACCACCGCATTGCATAATATCCTTCGTCGAGCTATCGCTGCTGGTACCAGTTTTTCCCGCCGCAGCAAGAGCGATGCTGTGCAACTTCCAGCCGCCCAAAAGCGAGTGCAGGAGTTGGAGGGGAATCTCTGCGAGAAGGAGCGTGCACTACGCACCATGCAAACCAAACACGATGAGGAATTGCAGTGGATGCGAAAAAACATGAGGAGTGAGGTATGGGAAGAGGCTCGAAACGCCTTTGATGATGCCTCCATGATGCAATTGCGACAATTTCGCATACGCCATGACGAAGAGGTTGGACGGATGCGAGTGGCTGCGAAAGAAGCGCGGCAATGGTTAGCTCTTCTTCTGTTTGAACTGCGCAAGTCTAAGGATCTTGCAATTGCGGAAATGCAGCAAGAGGGTCTTCGAGAGTTGAATTTGGTGCGTGATGAACTTTCGATTTGTGAGAAGCGTCAAACGAAAACAGTGTCGATTCTTGAGGACTCGCTTGCGTACGGCGGCGAGGAGGAGGGGCACGAACGGCACAAAAGGCAGCGGCGGGCGTTGAAGCGGGCACTAAAGACGCTTTGTGGTTCACACTCCTCTGGGCCATCCAGTGAGTCATCGCTGAGGCGCTTCTCACGAAATCCGACGCCAACTCAAGAGGCGGCATACCGTCGTCTTCCTCTTCGAACTGGCACTCCGGTACGACGACTATCTACTTCGGAGGTTTCTGAGGTGTCGAGGGAGTTAGCCGAAGACAACGCTATTATTTTGCGGGATCGTCTAGTGGAGGAAATGCGTGATCGCGAGTTGATTCAAGAGGTGCTTGTACAAGAACAACGGAAGAATCAGTTATTAGAGGAGGAAACTAAGGCACTGAGATTTGACCTGAGCCAGGAAGTGGAGAAGCATGCGGCACTCAAGGAAATGTTTCGAGAACTACAAAACGAAGTTGCGGCAAGGCCGGGGACTGCGCGTTCAAGTTCCAAAGGATCTAGGATGAGTGGCTCCGCAAACGACGGTCGTGATGCCCGTGAGCAGGTTGCGAAACTGCGTGGCACCATTGCTACGTTCGATCGGCAGTTGGAGGAAATGCTAGAGGCGGAGGGGATGAAGAATGAAGGGGCCTCACTCCAGGCTCTGCGGGACTGCTTTGCAAGGCTGAAGGCTTCCTGCGCAGTGATGCAAGAGGAACGTGATGCACAGGCTGCCGACGCGAAAATGTTGGAGTCATATTTAAAGACGGCTGCAGATGCCTTGGAAGACGCTCTCATCCACGATGAACGGTGGCGCCCCCACACTACCGATTCAAACTACACCACGTGGCATTGGAAGAAATTTGGAGGCGATGATTGGGGTCGCGTCATCGCCGACACCCCTGAAGCTCTGGAAAAGGCACTTGTGCGTGGTGTCTCTTCCGCGTGCCATATACCAGAGGAGTACGTTTTGAATCTCAAATACCGTGATGAGGGCATGAGCCTCTACGTCTCCTTTGACCTTCGTCATGACCCAACGATACCCGCTGAAGATATTACGTCTCGTTTAGAGGAGTGCAACTATTACGAGTTGGAAAGATTGTACGCTCACCGGTTTTCCCCTGAAGAAGGGATTGACTCCTTGAAGCGGCAACTGCGCGCGAAGGAAGAGGAGTTGGAGGAGTTGCGCGCCAGTGTGTCGCATCAGCGACGTGAATTTCAGCCCTCCAGCGGTGGGGGATCAAAAGCTTACGTGTTGGGGGCTTAAAAGCAATGAGATTTGCTATCCCCGGCCATATGAGGAAAAAGACTTTTAAAAACTATATGGGGATCAGCTTTCTACACGGTTAATGTTACACACCTGTTGAGTGTGTAACGTACCGTGTCGCACGTACAGATTCGATTATACGACGAGAAAATGACAAAAAAAAAAAGAGAAACTTGGGAGGAGGCAGGGAAGGGAAGAAAGGAGCTGAACGGATGGAGCAGCCTTTATACTGTATCTTGGAGCCCACTCTCTGTGCCCAAAGTAATGGTTTGACTGCAATTGATTTCTGTAAAGAGGAGCAATGAAGATGAATAAGATGTTGTTTTTTGATGCATATTTTGCATGTATTCTTATTTCTGCTTCATTGCCTTGAAGAGCCGTTTTCTTTTTTACTCCATTTTCATTATATGTGCCTTGCGATTACTTCTGTGATTTGGCGCAGTCTATATATATATATATAT